GACAAATAAGGCCAATAAAATCACCTTACTTCTTTTGGTGCAATGAAAACACCAAATCGCCATGATTCAAAGCTGTACCCACAATAAATCACATATAACGTTGTCCCATAACCAGAATAAAATTGGAAAAAAAAAAAGTCAAGTTCAGCAACATCATTTCCAAGAATTGAGCATGCACAAAATACATGCCCCCGAGCTTTAATATAAGAAAAACAGAAGTATAAATTTTCTCCAAAGGCAAAAGTTGAAAAATGAAATAGAAACATAAAGAATTAAACTTAAGAAGAAATTGATCGATGCATGTATAAGCATATACATACAAACCTAACAATGAGACCCATAAAATATACTTCCGATTCGATGCAAGAAGATCAATTTCTCTCACAGTTTCCATTTTGCACTTTGAAGAGTTGGTACTTGAAACTAACAACATAAAAATGGTGAAAGTGGGAAAAAATATGCACAGTAGCAACAAAATGAACAAAGAATACACAACAAGAACATCAAAGGAACATACTTTAGCTATTTTGAGTTTGATTTCTCAAAAGACCAAAAAAATTGCAGATTCAACAATAGAAGTGAAGAAATCGTAACAAATACAATTGGTACTTCAACTTAAATTAGCTGATAACCAAGAAATTAGTTGATGCCAAAACTAAGAAATAGAAACAAATATAGTGTCTAGAAATCGGGAGTGCTCTTGAAAGGGAAAGGGAAAGGGAAAGGTAATGGTAAATGTTAGGAGATGAGATGTAGATGTAGAAAAACTCCTCACAATGCAGAGTCTTGCTCACGGTGTGCAGAGTCTTGCTTCGCATGAGGAGAAAAACAGCCAACGTAATGCAAATAACTTCTTCCTAATAATTGAACTGTAGCAACTAAATAAGGCATCACCATGAAATAATAATAGCTAGTAACGATGTTGTTTCTAATCAGTTATCAGAATAACATTTTATTTATAGATATGCTTTCAAGAAAACAAACGCACGGGTTATAGGGAGCATGAAGTGGAGGAAGATTATCAGTGTCTAATTCTTTCTTGCTCATCATTGCATGTTGAAAACAACTTATCAAGAGGCATGGAAGGGCATTAATGTTAAGTGTCTATAGAAAGAGCTTAAAAAAACAACAAAACAAAAGAATGATATTATCAATGATTGAGCAACAGCTAAAAAAAGAGTTGAGGGAAAAAGTCGTTAAAGAATCATCTGCAAGATAGATTGAAAATTTAGTAATACATTAAGAAAAATAGAATAAAATTAAAGTAAAGACATAAACAAAAGAATTACCCTGTTTGATGTTTTGAGTATTCAGAGGAAAAAAAATGAAGTGCTGGTTTTCCAGTAGACAAGCTATTTTTTGAGAATCGAAGAACGCGAATTAAACTTTATTCATTGACAATATTCATTCTAGTTGATATTGTTCAACTTAGTACTGACATATCTCACAAAACAAGCAATTTAAAATATCTATAGCATCAACCATATGCATAAGGTTATCAAATAATATCGTAGTTCATGAAATATAACATCATTAGGAACACGATTAGGAACACGATCACTGACATGTAACATCTTTGTTAATCGACATAAGTTTTTATTTTTTCAATAGTAATAAAAAAGAAGAAACATAAGAGTTAGGAGACATGACAAAAGGAAATATGAGACAAGCCTTGATTAGCAACAACCTTAATATGGTTGTCTATGTCAATTATAAGAATGGATATCTTTCCCAGCCACAACACTGCAGGCTGCAGTAAATATCTCAAATGTATCATTCTGATTTTGTTTGCAAATTCTGAGCCTCCCATTGAAATAAAACCATTAGTCAATCGGCAACTTGAGATAAATAGACTAAAAAATTATTTTTCGAAAAGTAATTGAGGTAAAAAAAAAAGAAGTCCATTTTTTTAATGTGAAAAAAAAGCTCTGTATGGTTAAAGTTGTTTTGAATGTCATAGTATGGTGAGTTGTACGGAATTTTAAAAGGATAAGAGCTGATCACTATATGCACAGTACCAAACTCAGGTACTTTCCCAAATTTCTACAAGAATACGAAACTTCTGAGTGTCATAAGCAGCATTAAAATATTGTGAAAATGCTCTAAAAATAGCTATAAAGATTGTAGAGTATTTGAGAACTATACCTGGTACATTTATTAATGGTTGGAAAAATAGAACGACATAATGTATTAGATTTTAGCAAAATTTTTATATTTTATTTTTGAATTGATTCATACCTGTGAGATATACAAACACGGTAGAGAATTGAGACGAACTTCTGAATAACACCAATGGAACTTCTTAGAACCTGTATATCAAACATAGAAATGAAAATTATTATTTTGTGCATCATAATACTGTTTTATAAATAAACGAAAATGTTAGGGAATACTGGATGGTAGCAAATTGTAATAATTTTTCAAAGATCGGAAAATATACCTATGAGAAATAATACAAGAAGAGAAATTCATAAGTATGCAATCTATAGCAGCCTATGTATTATTGTACCCTTAAGTAGCATAAATGCTAGAAACTTACATATCCATTGAATTGAGTAACACTGTAGCTTCCTCTGCGGTACACATTGTAATTAAACCAAACCTTGTACTTCTTTCTATAAACATGTCATAGATACCCTACAAATTTCACTACTTAGCTAGCAATCCATCATCACAAAAGGAAAAGAAGCAATTTTTTTTATCTTATTTTATTTTATTTTAAATTTTTTTTATCACTATAGGTTAACAGATGAACTGGTAAAATAAGTAGCCTTGCACTGAAATATAAGAAAATTGATATGCAATGTGTACATGACCCATTCTATACACAACCACATGGCCTTCAACAAGCATACATCTATCCCATTAATATACAAATTACAAAGAAATTGAAAATTCTACACAGATGCAAAGTAAGAAAATAAATTGTTTGGCATGAACAAAATCCCAATTCCTGAAATCATATCCCTAAAATAACGTTATTCTGAGTTTTGTCACAAACAAAGACAGAAGCATTAATTCACAAATGTCTTCTATATATCGACCACTAAATAAAGCAGAGGAGATTTAAGATAATCGTAGAAGAAGGTTGATACCAGCATAAATGGTATTTGACTACAAGTCATTGTAAT